TGTACCATTCAGCTAGAGGTCTGTGGATAATTGTTTTGTGTAAACACTTATAGCTCCTAGATCTAGGGCCATAACAGGGTTGGCTTGTCAGGAAACCTCAACCTCTTGTAAGCCATCCCGATCCCCTAAAAATCCATTTCTTATTTTTGATGTGATTCTAAGGTTCAGTTTTTTATTTTTTTCAGAAAGTTTTATTTCTGTTGTATTTTTAGATTCCAAAGTATTTATTTAAGGTGAACAAATGATACAGCATACACAACTGCTGGAACTGCTTTTTAATTGAGAACAAAAAGGGAGTACCTGGGACAAAACGATGCAATTACCACACATTGTTTTCAGGGAATTTTTGTCAAGTTTGTTTATCTTATTGTTAATGTGATGATACAGCAATCCTTGGAAAAAGAATAACATTTGCGTTAAAGAACAAATCTAGATAAAAATGGAAAGCAGAGTTAGCACAACCCACAAAACCTTCTTCGGGAAGAACTCTTGAAGGAAAACCGACTCAGGTTCCACAGAAGAATGTGGCGCAGTCGTGTCTCCCTTTATAGTGCCAGAGTGTTCCTGGACAGAGGTCTCCTGACCTTATCAACTCATCATCTATTTTTTGATGTGATTTCTATTTTCAGGATCTTGTTTCTCCCTTTTGTTTCTGATGCATTTGGTCATTGGTGCCTTCTACTGTGGTCCTATCATATTCAATGTGACCAGCACCCACCTGGAGAGTTCACTATGGTGGCCATGAGTCAGACGCAAGGTCATTGTTCAGCCAGGAGAAGACCAGAGGAAGAGCTCAAGGATCCACCCACTCCAGTCAGAAAAACTGGAGATATGTGGAGTCTGAAGGATGACCAGTTTATTCCAAAGGATCTAGAAAGGAACTAATAAACTATCAGTACCTAGCCAAGCCCTGGATATTTTTTTAAAAACAAGCATAACAAAAACTTTTTTATTCTATTGCTAAGATTTCTGATGTATAGCCTAATTAAAGATAGCTATCCAGTGCTTATAAATTTACGTAGCTCAGCCACCAACCTTGTAAGAGTAAGGAAAAGAAGAAACGGAGGGTATTTATATTTCATTGATAAATGATGGAGTTGAGTATCTCTAAACATGTGAATTTTTCCTATTCAAAAATTCTGCAGCATAAATTCTATAAATGACTTTACTCTGACATCAATATTCACTCATTCAGTCAGACATTCAACAATTATTTAGATGCCTAGTATGTGCTAAGCACAGAAATGCATCAGTGAATAAAACAGACATGGATCACTCATTACAGTCTATAGACAACCGATCCCCCACAAACATGTATAAATATACCCACAATTGCATACATTCTGGAAGAAAATTGAATGGATTCAGAGATAGAGTATAACACAGTGTGCCTACATAGGTAGAGGGATTAGCAATGGCGCAATGGCCTCTCTAGGAAGAAAGCATTTAAATCAACAACTGAACAATTAAAAAAAAGAAAGTCAAGTCAACTTTATCCTGGAATGTGCTGACATTCCAGGGAAAACACACACAAAACCAGTGTAGGCAAAGACCCTGGGAGACGGGGGGAGTGTAATGTGTTTAAAGAAGAGTAGAACATTATGGATGCAAAATGTTGCAGACTAGAGAACGCGCTAAATCATAGCCTCTCAGGGTTTGATTGGGTAATTTGGTCTGGCCACCTGACCAGTTCTTCAGTCCCCTTCACAACAATCCCTCTGAACAGCCATTCCCCTTATGCTTGATTCTTTTCATGAGAGGGAATGTACTACCTCTTGAAGTATCTGTGACAGTTTAGGTTAATATGAATTTGTTCCGACCAGGAAGGAGGAGCTGGAATCATGAATTGTAGTCACGGGTCTGCACCTGAGAAAATTTCCAAGTTGAAGTGGGAGAAGCTACTAAGATAGCTGTGTTTGCCATTCTTTATTAGGCGGAGAGCCAAGGACATACAGCCGGCTTTCAAGTTCATCGTTATTTTCGGGAAGAATGAACTGAGAATGATAAGACAGCTCTCACAAACTTCCCACACTTTGCAACTATAGTAAAATTCGTGTCAGTATCCTCCTGGCAAACCAGTGACTGCACAGCAAGGTCAGTTAGACTCTTGAAAGACAGCCGTGTGCTTGGGCCAGGGTGATGAAGTGGGAGTGACTTCCTGTGGTATTTGTGGTACATCACGTAGAGGAAGTGCACTGTATCCACCAATTTTACAAAAGTCTTTGATAATATGAGTTGATTTACACACAACCTATAATATTGACCTGACTAATAAAGAAGCTCAGTGGGATTCCACAAAGATTTTGCCAGTTATTTGAAAGAATCCCCCGTAGCCAGTCCATTCCACTAATAGTTGAGACTGGTTTGAGTGTTTATTTGTTCCCAAGTACATCAGGACATCTAAGTTTCAAGGTCTTTGGGAGGTACTTCCAAGCTACATAACCCACAGGCCTTTCTTCTTAAAGCCATTTATGACTGCTAAGCCACCCTACTTGAGACAGCCTCCAAAGGATTTTGGACCATCTTGCATAGTTGTAATATTGTTAAGGGTATGAAAAGTCAAAAAGTTGACCAAAATGAAATGCTAACCTGTGCAATGAAAAGCCTATTGGCAGCCAATAGGATTTTACCTCTGATATACAAGAAAAAAGCCTCCATTGACTTTTGCTTCTCAGCTAGCAGTAATGCTCTAAAAATATCAAAGCAGTAGGAAAATAAAGCCAAAAAAACAGGATATCTTGGTGAGACTGTCAGGTGGAGTATGGTGCCTATGTGGCACCTGGTTCTAGACCAGACAAAATAAAAATCTATAGATCAGTGCATAAATGTCACACCCAACTTCTTGAGCCAGTTCATGGGATTGCCTAGTAGACCTGCTTCTCATTAAAGGATAAGGACAGATCCATCAGTATGCCTGGAACACAGCCAGCCCACCAGGACTGAAGGGATGACCACCGGGCCTACCAAATGTCAAGAAGGAATGTCAGCAGGATGCTCTTAAGCTGCCCCTGTGGTGGGTTGAAGCAGGACGACTCTAAGGAGTAGGCCAAAGGATTCCTTTCAAGATTTGCTGGAGCACGACTTTCGTGATGACTTGTAGCTATGGCAGCTTGGCAGAGAGAGCAAGAGACCTTGCTGGCCAGCAGCAGGGAGAAATGAGCACAGGCATCTGACAGCCAACTCCATGAGAGAGCCCATCTGGAAAGAGCAACCGGCCCTGTGAACAGGGATTAGAATTGTGAGCCATAGGGTAGTCCTTGCCTTTTATACAACATAGAAGCAGCAGCCAGTTGTGCAGTATGGTGTAATAGTTCGGCACCAGGTTCTAGAGTCAGGTTGCCTGAGTTCAAATCCTGTCTCCGTCACTTACTAGCTGGGTGACCTTAGGATTGTTTCTTAACCTCTGTAAGTTCATTTCTTCACCCATTAAATTGGAATAATGATCATACCTACTAATGATTTATGTATGTTGCCTGTTAGAACAGTGTCTTTCTAAGTGCTCAATAAATGCTAGCTCTAGAATTATTAGTCTCTATGGCTCCCCACAGGAAACTAGAGATCATATTGTAGTCTGCCATTAAGAGGTCCGTGTTCATATTTCTGCTATTTACTACTAAATAGGAACAACAAATTATTAAGAATTTTTAATATCAGTTTCTTCTTCTGTCACATACAAATAATAATACTACATGGGTTTTATAAAAGTTAATGAAATAATAGTCATGAAACATCAACAATTGGGCCTGGTATGCTGTTGGACCTCAGTCAGTGCTAGTTATTATTATTTGCTCTGATTGCCTAGAGTCTGGCAGGGCTCTCTGGTAGAAGTTTTTGTGATGAGAGAAGTGATCCGTGTCTGTGCTGCCCCATATGGTAGCCACTGGGGCTACTGAGCACTTGAAGGGTGGCTGGTGCAACTGAAGAACTAAACTTGTCATTTCATTTAATTTTAATTTATTTTAATTGAAATATTCACATATGACTTGTGGCTAATGTATTGAACAGTGCATGCTGGGTTGTTCAGGCCTCATCCTGCCCCCTCCATATCCTGTCTACGCTCATGTCATGTCTAACTGTTGGTTATTAGTATCTCTAACCGGGGTTGGACAAGAGCAAAGAGAGGATGTGAAACCCGATTTTGGCAGGTTGGTATGGTGGCATAATAGAAAGAAAAAGTCAGTACTGAGTCTATGGGAACCATTCCATTCCCATTTCTGCCTACTGTTCTTGGGCAAGTCACTTCACTGCTTCCTTGGATAAGAATAACACTTTCGTTAAAGAACAAACCCAAGGGCCAGCATCCCTGGGAAGGAGAGGTTTGATACTGAGATGACTTCAAAGGTCCCACCCATCACATGATGACTAAGGGGAAAAGATAAGAAATAGTACACAAACTTGATTAATTAAGTCTTAAGGTACTGCAGGTTACATTTAGTTGTGTTTAGTGTCTCCCAATTTAAATGTGGTGTATATACGTGTTGGTATACAAATACCAGTGAATAGACAGAGATAAAAAAAGAAATTGAGGCCAAAGAGCAATTAACCTTGGGGCAAAGAAAAAGGATTTTGATGAAAAAGGACATGTGTCCTTGGGAGCAGAGTGTTCCTGCCATATCCCTCTGCAGTGGCCTTCCAGCCGTGTGGGTGAGAGTGGAGAGTGCTGGGGAATGCTTGGCTGGTAAGGGCTTTGGATACACAAACCCATGCTATGATTTATTGTCTCCTACTGAGAGCAAAGTGGAAAGGAGACTCTGCAAATCAGATCTCCTAGAATCCACCCTGGGTAGAAAGAGCACAGGACAAGGAGCCTGGAGGCCATGTTCCTCCTCTGGGTCTGTGGCTAACCAGCTGGATGACCCACATTTAATCTGGCTAACTTCTCTGGGCCACAGTTTAATCTCCTGTGCAAAAAATTGGTTGGACTCTACTCAGACCAGCTTGGAAAATCTGTGGTTGTGTTTAGAGCCCCTGAAATTTCAAAGATGCTTTTTTTTTTACAGGAACAGAGTGTGATGAATTACAACAGCAAAACCAGGTAACAATTCCCTCAAAACACACACACACTCACTCACATCTTTTTTAATCTTCTGAAGGGTGTGGTCATTCCCTTTTCGTTATGACCCCCTTAGTCCCTATGAAAAGCAACTTATTAAATGAGGGGATCCCATTTGCTCATAAGTATCATTCTGATTGATTAGCCTTGACAGTACCCAAAGAGTTTTCTAGACATTTTTAGAGAGACAGAGCAAAGTAATTCCTCAAACTATCAGGGAGGTGGTGATGGTGTGTGTGTTTGTGAAGGCAAAATGAGAAACCTCACCCCCCGGCTTCTATGAATGGTGAAATATAATACACTGTTCTCATTTGGGGCAAGCTGATTATTTGCAGGAAAAACCAACAGACTTTCAGAATAGAAAAACCAGGGGCTGAAGAAAATCATCCAGGATAATTGAGTTTATTAATCTATTTGACTTTAAATCTTCTTTCCTCCACCAGTTTTATAGTCTCTAAGTCCACAAATTGTTTTGAAACTCAACCCCTCTTCCTCTGCTTCTCCCAAGGCTGCTGCATGATAAATAGCTCAGCCTGCCCTCCCTGCTCTCTCCCCCATTTCTTCTCACATTCCTCTCTCGCCTTGTCGATTCTTTCCTGAGAGTAGGGTGGGAACGTCTACCCAACAGTCCACTTGCCTGGGCCCTGTATCTAATAACACAAAGAGAGAGTGTTTTAAAGGAAACACTCAGGGAGTGATTCCTATAGACATACACATACCTTTTTCAGACCAGAGGTCTCCTGGAGGCAGTACTAGCTGGACCTTGACCCCTAATAACATCAGGTTGAGACTGAAGAGCCATAAGCAAGGGCAAGTCTACCCTTATGTTTGCCGTTTCTGGGTCCTCCGGCACCTCGTTGGTGAACAAGCTTCCCTGCGGTGTCTACTTCCCAATGAGTCTGTCCCATTGACCTCCCTGGTCAGCAGAGGCTCTCTCTTTTTTTGTTGGGGTCCTTACAACTCAATTTATGGCCCTTTTATTAGGTTGGCAGGTGCTTTAAGTGAGGGAGGAAAGAAGTGGCATGATTTGCATGGAGTTTCAGCTCAGGAAAGAAGTGGAAGAACGTATCCAGTCATTTTTTGCATAAAGGTTGCAAAAATTCTTCAGGGACCGCTGAGAAGAAGCCTTGTCTTTGCTTCAAGCCTAGATTTCTGATGCATTAAGGCTAGAAGGGATTTCTAGATCATGAAAACTACTGATAGGAAAAGGGGCCTAGAGAGAGAGGTGAAACAACATGCCCAAAAGATCAGACATTGCAGAGCTAGTTAGGAGAACCCCAGGACTAACGGCTGGGTCAACTGATTTCCTCAGATCTCACAGCACATGCACACACACTCTCTTTTTCTCCCTTGATCATCTTCAAAAAGGACCTTCTTTGGTGGGCCTAAGGAAAAATAGTAATCTCTGAAAGAGACAAAGGAGATTGACAATCTGTTTGCTAGCTTCCCTTTCTTTCTTTTAAGATATTCAATATTCTGACTTTGCCCAGGAAGTAAAAAGAGAAGAAAAAAGATAACCAGCTACCTTGATAAACAAAACAAAGCAATAAAGAAAACTGCTTTTTAAAGGAGTGTGTGTGTGTGTGTGTGTGTGTGTGTGTGTGTGTGTGTGTGTGTAAAACCAGGGCCATATATCTTTTTCCTCTGATTAAGCTAAATAAAAATGTAAATGACCTTCCCGTTGAGTGGAACACATAGAAAGGAGGCCTTCTTTGCTTATTCCAGCCCTTAAAAAGCCTAAAAATCAGCGTGGGGACAAATGATTCACTCCACCGCAGACATGGGTCTCTGGTCTGCCCTGTATTCTGCGAGACCATCTCATTTCCTTTGGGCTTCCCCCAGCTCTGTCCCAGCCCTTGCCAAGTCTCCTTTCATTATTAGTCATTCTAATAAACACTCCTAATAAACACAAGCCCTATAAACCAATCCAGGGGGCTACTTCTGGCTCCTGTGCTGTCTTTAGGGAAAACTGATACCTGCATTAACTCTTGTCATTTGTCCTGGAGAAATCCAGCTGAGATCTCTAACATATTTGGTCGCAAGCTGCAATATAATGGACATGTTTAGTGTACATGCTCTTGTTAAATGGAATTTGCATTCCTAACTGAACTAAAAATGCTTAATTATTAATAAGTCCCCCAGGGATTAGTGACATTTGGGATGATTTATCATGCTGTATTTATCATGCTGTAAATACTTAACAACATAATGTGTGCAGTGGTATCTAATTCAACCTTTTTCATTTCAAAGAACATTCCCTCCCAATTTGTTTGGACTTATATGCCATGTAGATTGTTCCCTGAGCATGCAGCCCTAGGTGAAGGTAGAGGGGCGTCTCTGAGGAATGGGACGGATTGAAGCTGGGGCTACAGTGCAGTGCTGGGGCTACAGTCCTGGGAGGTGGAATTGGTTTGGGGTGGACTACAAGCCAAGTGCTTCCATTTAGGTGGAGGCAATGGTGGCAATAAACAGAAGTTTCTGGAAAGATCTCAGGACTATGGGTCACAGGACCAGGAGCTAAGCTTCCAGTTCTGCACCAATTTACCGTGTGACTCTGAGCGAATTACCTAACCTCTCAGAGACGGAGTTTTCTCACGTATGTGGGAGGGATGATCACACATTCCTTAGCCGCCTTATTAAATTGTGTGCGATGCATATGAAAGTGCTTCCAACAATTAAAGCACTTTATAAGGAAGATAGCCAAAGATGGGATAGAAGGAAGTAGCACTTCCTAGGCCCCCTCTATGTACTGGGTGGGTCGTGTTCAATACTTTTACAAACGAAGTCAGTTAGTCTTAGCAAAACTATCTGAGATAGGCCTAGTTGCCCCATATGCAGAGGAGGAAATTGAGGAAAATCTCTAAATATAAGCATAGCATCAAAATTCAGTCTTTAAATAGGGTAAGTGTGTAGCAGGTCCTGCCATTAGGTTTCTATGATCTTGACCTGGATTGGTCAGTGATAATGAATTTTCCACTCATGACTTCCTGTTTCTGGCCATCACCGTGAGACCCGCCGTTGATGCCATTTCTGCCCTCCACAGTCTCAATCATTCCTTCTCCTCCATTTCTGTTCAGGCCCCTGTGTTCTGTCCCCAGGATGGCGGACATCCCATTCTCACACAAATGCTTTGTACAATGCGGGTCCCGATTGGCAGTGTTGGCCTGGAGATGAAATTCTCGATGGCTGTGTATGAGAGAGAAGAGTGGAGCAAGATTGGAGCAAGAGACCAGAAGCCAGTCTATCACCTGTTTCTCAGGGACCTCACTTCACCTCTTTAAGTTTCAGTGTCTCCGTCTGTTGGTGGAGAGTGACACACAGCACCTTCACTCTCAGAGTCGTAAATGTCTTTGTAAAGCACGGGAGATGCTAGAGAGGCCTGCAAGACCCCATGGTTCCCTTTATGTAGCAAAATAAAACCCCATCTGATAGTCTAAAAATTATAGAACTTTTTTTTAAAGAAGATGATCTTATACCTGAAAAAGCACTTGCATTTTTTTTTAATTCATCAGCAGATGGTGTTCCATAAAACCCACTTCAATGGTTGGACTTAAATATTTGTTTAATAAATAAGCATAAGCATGCACAAGGAGCTGTGGCTGTTATTATTACTATTCATTTACTTTTCAACTACAAAATGCATTTTCATACTAATTTTGACATGTTTAGTGTGCTTATTCTCCCCACACACACAGACACACACACACACAATAGAATTTCAGAGAGTGGTATCGGCACCCTATTTTATAGGTGATAAAACTTAAACCAGAAAAAGTAAATGGATTGCCATGTCCCCACAGATAATTAGGGGCAGAGTTAGGAAAATAGTCTAAATCCCTTTTTTTAAAAAACTATGTTTTTATTGATTTTTAGAGAGGATGGGGGAGAGATAGAAATATCAATGAGAAAGAAGCATCTATCAGCTGCCTCCTGCACACCCCCCACTGGGGATTGGGCCTGCAACCTGGGCATGTGCCTTGACCAGGAATCGAAGTGGCGACTTCTTGGTTCATGGGTTGATGCTCAACCACTGAGCCACATCGGTCTGGCTAAGCTAAGCCTTGTCTCAAACTCCTTTCTTGTCTCAAACTCCAGTGCTAATCCCTCTAGCTTCATTTTTTATAATCCTGGAAACTGAACTTCTCCGTCGTTCTGCCGTCTACATCATTCCTCCCACACACACGCACTTACTGCTATAATAGGGCTACAGTGCCTTCTCTACATTCCTCCCCGGGGGAACGGAGCCCTCAAAGGCAAGGCTCTCATCCCTGATCTTCTCTAGGAAGGTTTGCGGTCAAGTGAGAGCTCAGACATGACTCGTTAAGCTTGTTCCTCATTGCAAGCTCTAAGAAAAACCTGCCAAAAATCACATTAGTGAGTCACAGGGACCTCCAAACTGCTCTAAGTGGAGGAGCCAGTGAAGCTGCACGAGTAACTTTCGGGCTGAAATCGCCCCGTCGTGATGCTATTCCAGACATGCGTTTGCTTTGAACATGCTTCTAAAGTGTATCCAGGCTTAGGCATCAGAAGGGAAAGTGTGGATTGAACACCAAAAGAGCACTTTAAATGGGCACCTTTTTCTGTGGGGAATTAAAATGCAGAGGTTATCAGAGGCTGATGGCACTAGCTCCATTGTGAATATCAAGCATGTCAAACTCATGGCCTGTGGGCCACATGCCTCATTTATTTGGCCCGTGTTAGCCTTTGAGTTTGACAAGCTTGGTTTACACACCTTCACAAGGACCTGGGTTCTCTGTATGCCCGTGGTCAATCCAGGTTGCTATTACAGTGCCTTTCAAGTGAGCACCCCCTGCCCGGTACCACTTGGCAAAAAACAAATGTTCTATTGAGATTTTAAAACATTGAAACTGAGAAAGCTGCGCAGGGGAACCCCAGCACAACAGACGGCTGCTGGCCATGGTCTGGCTGCCGAAGCTCCATCAGTAAGAACAAACCCTCTTGAAGGTGCTCCTGTCTGCCTGCCCCACTTGAGCTATGACTGCCAGGGCCAGCATCCCTGGGAAATTGCCCTGTAAAATGAGCAGCTCCTTTTCAACAGCAGAGTCCCAGCTGCTCCCCACCTCCGAGGCTGCTGTCGGGCATGACAGAGTGGCCAGCTGGGCCTGGCTCGCCTCTCTCCCTGCTGAAGGCCTATTAGGAGTCCGAGCTGGGAGGCACAGGTGGGCAGAAGCAATGTGGCAGCCCCAGGTGGCACACCTGCCCTCCTACCTGCCTGGTCTTCTCCAGCTTTGGGTTGAGGGGGTGGGTGAGTTGAGGGTTGGGTGTCCTTTGCAAGTGGATCAGTCTCCCCTCCTCTTTCTGGGCAGCATCGTGCACCTTCACCCACCTTAAAGCCCTGCCTGGAAACAGGACACTGAGGCCAGCTCTTCCCCTAGGAGCCAGAAGGGCCCTATCTGGCCCAGAGCCAGGCTCTGAAGAATTGGCACAGGGCAGAGAGAGGTGGTGGGTGGGGCAGGGAGCCTAGTGTTACACATTCAAAGCCTAATTTCGGATCAGAGTCATATTGTAGCCAAGCCTGAAAGATCACCGAGGCCCCCAGATGAACCCACAGCTCTGAGGCGGGGCCTGGGCGCGTCCTCATCTCTCTTGCCCACATGCTGCTGTCCGTGGGGAGGTTATGTTAGGCTTGTTTGGATTTTCACTGGTATTTTTTTAAAGCCACATCAGTTGGCTTTTTGCCTCCTGCTAGCTGAGGGACAGTGCACGTTTCCTACCCCGATATCTCTGTTCATGTTCACAAACTGCCCAGCTGAGACGCCAACCGGAAGCCTGGGCTCCTCGTGCTGCTGCCTCCCTGCGTTAGGCCTGGGACTGCCATCCTGCCTGAGGTGGCCCCAGCACAGACAGCAGCCAGCAGGGCCAGGGCAGCTGCAGGTGGCAGCTTCCTGTTAACAATAAAAGCGACTCTCGGATAGGGAAGAGCGAGGAGACCAGGCAGGCACTGGCCTCTGGGAGCCACAAGAGAGAAAGGCTGCTCCCTTTGCTTCCAAGGGTGTGGGCAATTCCTTCGGAGAATTTGCTGCTGCCAAGAGCCGGCTGTCGCCTCCCTGGAACTCGGGGTATCAGGAAGCTTGTTTGCAGAGCTGGCCAGCCAGCAGCCGGAGCAGCTGGTTATAATTATGCGTTGCAGCTTCAGAGGAAGTTGCTGGCTGCTGAGCGTGTGCTGGGCCTGGCTGCACACTGGCTGCTGGGCTTAAGGGAACAATGGAGATAGAAACCAGTGGCAGAGCCGAAGGGGAGGAGCAGGACGAGGGTGAAGACAGGCAGAAAGAAAGGGCGCGAGCTGCTCCCAGCGCTGAATGCGGAGAAACCCGCCAAGGATCCCTGCTCTTGTTCCCAGACTGAGAAACAAAGTCTGTGGCCCCCTGTGAGCAGCCTCCTGACTTCGTTTTAAAAGCGGTACCTGCTGAACGCTGTATTTAGAGAAGTGTGCCTGGCTGACAGACTGAATAGCACTTCTCAGCCTGTTTAATCTAAATTGATGCCTCACTGCAGCAGCTGGCTACGGGGAAAAACAAAAGAAGTCGTGATGAAAAGGCAAATCGCTCCTGCCTGGAAAGAACTGCTGCCAGGGCTGCAGCTCGGCATTTCAGGGCCCTGCTAAACGCTGGGAGGGAAAGACAGACAGCTCTGCTGACGCGAAATGTGGTAAACTAACAAGTTGTTGTTTTGTGTGTGTTTTTTCCTGGATGGAGAAAAACTTATTAGTGTCTGGTTCCTTGTACTCTCCTAGATGTCTTCAGTGTTTCCTAATTCGAACACAGCAGGAAAATGAACGTAGGAGGGGTGGGACATGGGGTCGGGGCCGTCTTCCCCGCTGCGCTATTTGGGACCCCAGCACTGATACCATCCGGATCTTCTCTTCAGCTATAGGGGTGGTCACATCCACGCTGTCCCTCTGTCAGCAGGTCACCTGCAGTATCTACAAGGCTTGGCGTCCCCAGCAAAGTATTCAGAATCCCACGGTTTTCCCAGCTCAGGAAACAATTTCAAGGCCCTGAATCAGACAAGTGGACGAGCCTGAGATTCCCGTGGCCTCTCCATGACCCCTCTGCACTTGTACAACTCCTGATTTATGTTGCTTTCAAAGTGGGGGTGGTGGTGGCTTACCTGGTACTGGGCACCCTTGATGTAGAAAACTGACAGCCACACACAATGACACATTACTGGCTTGGCTCATAAATGAGGAGGCAATTTCATTACCTTTCCCCCTTGTCCACTGCCTAGCACAAGATGTCTTGAAATGCTATCAATCAGTAGGCGTGAATGCAGAGACGTGCCAGCCTGTACGTGGGCACGGCAGCCTCGTTCCCTAATGATTAATGAAAATAAATGATGACACCATTCTCTTTAGGAACTGATGGCTAGGATCTCCTTATTACCTGGGTGCAGAGATTATGGCGACAGGCCGAAAGGATTTTTCCAGAAGGGTCCAAGTAGGCAATATTTTTTCTTCATTGTTCTTCTTTCTCCTCCACCTGAGGTCTTAGTTTTCTAAACACTAAACACACACACACACACACACACACACAATTCCTATAGCTCTGCTGTTCAACACAGTAGTCACTTAAGACAATTTAAATGAATTAAAATTGATAATTCAGTACTTCAGTCATTCTAGGTCCGTGTCACCTGCTCAGCGGCCACGTGTGGCTCGGCGCTGCCACGTTGGCCGGCACCACATTACAAAAAGTTTCCGTCGTTGCAGAAAGTGCCGCTGCGCAGCCTGTCCTAGAGCCTCTGCTTGCTCTTGTGGCTCAGCACTCCTGCTCCTTTCTGAAGAAATCCTCTACCAGAAATTCTGAGAAAGGTGGAACCCATTTTTCCTTGCCCACAGCTTGGAACTGATGAGCTCCCTCAAGGCTCCTGAGGGAGAGCTCCCGAGTCTGTGCGGGCAGGACCTTTTGGGTAACCAGGTGTGGCCTCCCAGGCACTGAAAGGACACGGAGGCAGCAGGAGTGGCTCAGGCAGTCTGACCCCCACCTCGTCCTTCCGGTACTTCTCCTGGACAGTTCTGAGTCATAGCCAGGAGGAGCTATTAGGAGGCCAAGGGGTGGGTCAAGGTAGATACCAGGGCGTCTCTGTAAAAATTTGCACAGGAAACAGAGTGATTGCTGCTATAGAACTACACGGTGTGCCTCTCTGCTCTAGGAATTTCTGCCACCAGGCTTGGCAGGTGGGTGGAGATGCACCGAGCAAGGAGGCCTGATGCAGCTGGTGGGCCTTCAAAGCATCCCCGGGGAGAGATCATACCCACTACCTGGAACCAGCCGCTCAGGTCCTTTGTGTGTGTCGTGGTGGGGGCAGGGATCAGGCCACACAAAACTTACACAAATAAACCCAAAGGTATGCTGAAAGCACTGGCTCCCTACTGACTGCAACCAGAGGAGACAAAAGATAGGGTATTTAACACTTTTACTAAAATAAAAAAAAATTGCACCCAAACGTTTACTGACTTTTTAATTTTCTAGTTTAAAGTACAACCTTGTTGGCATATGGTATATATGTT